ACGGCCGCCACTCAACGGACAAGTCGCCTGCCCCGGCGGCGACCAAGGGCAAGTCGCGTTCGCGGTCTCGATCCCGCTCTCCGCGCAGTCGCTCCCGTTCGGGAAGCCCCAAGAGGTCGCGTTCCCGCAGCTCCTCGCGTCGCAGCCGCCGACGAGGACGTTCCAGCAGCATCTCCCTGTCACCAGAGCGCAATCAGGATCATTTCGAGCATCGGCGCAACAAGAACAGTGTTCAGAACAAACGGCAGTACCGCAACAATCGTGGAGATTCGGCCAGTTCCATGGAGCGCGGTAATGATCGGGGCAGACAGTTTGGTGGCGGAGGAGGGGGTCGCCGCGGTGGCAGGCGCTTCTCGCCAAGAGGACGCAGCCCCATGCGGCAGGATAATGGCGGAGGCGGCGGAAATCGCTTCCAGCGATCCAATTCACGACGCCGTTCAAGATCTCGGCGACTTTCCCGCTCCCCCATGCGGTATTCCCGATCCCCAAGACGGTAAGTGGCTTCTTACCCTTATTTACTCTCTGTTAAACTAAGGCTTTCTTGCTCCTTCTTTGTGTTCAGCTTCAACAATCGTCGCCGCTCGCCCATGATGAACTTCAGAGGTGGAGGTCGCGGTGGTCGTGGCGGCGGTCATCGCCAGATGTGGCAGCATCGCGGTGGATCGCCCAACTTCCGCGGTGGCGGGCGTATTCACTGGCAGGCCAGGCATAGTCCTGGCGGCGGAGGACGCGGTGGTGGCGGTGTCATGGGACGCTTCGACAGACGCCAGTCGCCGCAGCAGAATCGTTATAATCGCGATCATCGCCAGTCGCCCATGCAGCAGGGCCAGCCGTTCCGTAAGCAATTCTCGCCGCATCCGGGTCCGGGGCGTCGCTTCTCGTCGCCGCAGCAGCGTCGAAATTCGCGAGATCGCCGTCCCAACTCGAGGGAGAGGCGCAGTTCGCCCGGTGGCGGTCACATGAATCGGTGGGACAACCCGCCACCTGTCAGGAATCGACGTTCGTCATCTGGTAGCTCGGCGGAGCCGGCAGGTGGGCGCCAGCAGCGACAGCGCAGCTCTAGTCCGGCAGAGAAGCGTGGACGCAGCCGCAGTCGCAGCCAGAGTCGCCAGAGAAGCCGCAGTCGCTCTAGTTCGCGGCGCAGTCGCAAGCGGGAGAGTCCAGTTGGTGAGTGACAAACAACTAGGGCACCCCTAAAACTGGTCATAAAACATGTTTATCTTCTTTTTTCTTCAGCACGCTCCTCGGTTGAGTTCACTGGCCCGGCATTAAACACTATCGATCTCTGCCGCGAGGAGCAGCAGCGCAAAGCCAAGCCAGAAACCATCATTGTGCTGGACGAGGCTCCCCCAGTCGCGCGCAGTGGGTTCGCCAGTCTGTCCCGCACGCCCTCTCCGTTCCTTAAGCCCCACGAGCGGCTCGCAGCCAAGGCGGCGGCTACGGCGGCACCAAAGAAATCCCGCGACCAGAGCCAGAGCAGCAGCTCGGATAGCAGTGCGGACAGTGATGACAGCGAGGAACCGCCGCGGCGCAAGAAGCAGCAAGCCAGTGAGGAGAAGTCCAAGGGCAAATCCAAGGAGAAGGCGCGACGCAGCTCGGAGAGCTCATCCAGCAGCGAACAGAGCGACGACGAGGACAACTCCAGCGGGGATGAGCGTCTCAAGAAGAAGCTGAAATTGCAGAAGGAGAAAGAGAAAGAGGCGGCGGCCCTCAAGGAGAAGGAGAAGGAGCGGGAAAAGGAGAAGGACAAGCGGCGCTCGGACAAGAAGACCAAGCGAGGGGCAACCTCCAGCGGCGATGAGGAGTCCACGAGCAGCCGCAAGCGTAGTCACAAGAAGACGCGTCGGGACGAGGGCGGAGAGGTCGGCAACGGAAACAGCGACTCCGAGGACGAGCATTTGCCCAAAAAGAAACGCAAGAAGGCCAAGAAGGCGGCAGACTCCAGCGATAGCGATTCCGAGGCCTCCTCCAAGCGCAAGAAGCATAAGAAACACAAGAAGCACAGCAAGAAGAGCAAGAAGCATAAGAAGCACAAGCGGAAGAGCACTACCGGCAAATCGCGGGGGGATAGCAGCTCCCAGGGCAGCAGTGACGAGGAGGAGCAACCATCTTCTGGAGCAGCTGCCAAGCGAAATGGAAACACAGGCAAAATGCCGCTACTGCTGCCGGGTTCTTCCGGCCCGGGCGTCATCAATGAGGACCTCGAGAAGCAGCTAAGGGAACGAGCCCTTAAATCCATGAAGAAGCTGGACTGAACGACAGACTATGTGCGAGAATGATTGCCCCAACCAAATCCACTCCCAGCATACTGACCCTCACTCATCTACCCATTGTGAATCGCTCGCCCTCACAGACAGACGTACGTAGCCATTAAAATAGAAATATACATTTAAACCAACTAAACATTCATTAACTGCATACATTGTATTTCTTAAAATGTATTTCACATAACGATAAGTTCTTTCGCCTAAACAAAAACAGTAGCGACTAAATTAGCGAGCCAACATTAAGCAAATGAATACAGTTTGTATTATGTACAAAAACAAATATGAAAAACTGAATTAACCATTATAACTATTTAGCCATCAGTGGTTTTAAATACATAATTTCCCGTATAAAAACATAATACACAAAACAAAGCGAGGACACATAAACAAACGTAAATCCGTTTGGCAAATTGTATTGTTGCCGCAGTTTAATTTATAAGTAGGTTTTACAGAATGTAATTAATAATGCCTAAAGCGCGAATTGTGTGTTTGAGGGGCATTAACTAAATGAGAAAATAAACACAATTGTAAAATTACCAAAAAAATATAACTGATATTTTTAAAACTCGATAGAAAATGTGTTTTGTCTCGATTATTGGCGCGCAATGCAGACGCGCGAAAACTAGTATTTTTTGGTGTGACCAAAAGCTAGTTCACACAATTTACAGTATTTTAATGGAGATATAATGGAGGCTATTTCCTCCGAGTGTTATACCTTTGAGACTTTGTCCATGACTACATTCTCAAATTTTACATATTAAAAATTGCATCTAAAATAAAAACAGGAAAATAAAAGATAACTTTATCAAAAAAATAAAATTAGTTATTATGTATAGAAGAAATTTAATTTTAGTGAACAAAAGTAGCTAACAGCATATCATTAAAGTGCCATTCAAAATGGTTGAGTTAGTTTTAAATAATTCAATCAAATCAGTCTTGAAAATATTTTGTAACCAATAAATCAATAAAAATGTTAAACTTTTTAGATATAGAAACTTCTATTTGAAGTAAATATAAACCTTAATTGTCGTGGGGTTTTTTGATTTGTGTAAGTTCCCATTAATATATACAACTTGTGCTCAAATAAATAAAAAGACTATACATATGTTAAGTCACATTTTGTTAATAAGTTACCAACATAAGTAGCTTTGTTTATTTCAGCGTTTCTTGTTTTATAATTTTTAATTACAGCTGACGGAGACTCAGAGATGCAACACCCGGCAGAATAGCCCTTATGTTTCTCGTCCCTGGCAAAAAGTAACCCTGCGTCTCTGGGAAATTTGTCTGGCTCCTGGTCACACTGCGCTCAAATATCTTCCTTTTCCTGTTGTATTGCCCGACGGACGGTACGTGTAATTTTTCATCATATAAAATTAAGGCCATCGGCGATTGTTATTGTGGGATGGCGATGGAAATGGATAGCCGACGAGTCGAAAAAAGCATCAGTGGCATTATTTGGAGCCCAAACATTGGGGATTTCCTGTTAATTGATGCGGCTTTTTGCGGTGGCGCCTGAATGTTTACACAAAACTAAAAGTATTATTATTCCATTTGCAGTGATCGCCCGTACAATATAGTGAATCAAACATGGTGAGTATTTCGCATGCAAAGATATTCCAGCGGAATAAGTTCAATCACTGGATGTTTGGCATTTCTGCTGGCCAATATCTCGTGATTTGTTGGAATATGAAGAATACAACTAAAACCTAATAATTTTGCAGGCGCGTGGCCCCAAGAAGCATTTGAAGCGCTTAGCCGCTCCCAAGGCATGGATGTTGGACAAGCTGGGAGGAGCCTTCGCCCCTCGTCCCTCGACCGGCCCACACAAGCTGCGCGAGTCGCTGCCCCTGCTGATCTTCTTGAGAAACCGCTTGAAGTACGCCCTCAACGGCGCCGAGGTTACCAAGATCGTCATGCAGCGATTGGTGAAGGTCGACGGAAAGGTCCGCACCGACCCCACCTACCCCGCTGGCTTCATGGGTGAGTTCTCAATGGGACTTCTCAAGATCTGTCTTATACTTATGGAACTTTCACCCCTTTTTAGATGTCATCACCCTCGAGAAGACCGGTGAGTTCTTCCGTCTGGTCTACGACGTGAAGGGACGCTTCACCATCCACCGCATCTCCGCCGAGGAGGCCAAGGTGAGTTATCAATACCTTCAAGAAGAGTATAGCCCAGTGGTTCCGGTTTGCACTTCCAGAATTAGTTAGATTTATAACTTTATTTACAACTAATTAGATTTCAAATGAGATCATAAAGTTAGTTAAGAATTCGTACCATTTTTTTAATTAAAAAGATCAAAATAGATTAAACCTCGTTAAAATATGTTAATAGGTTTTATTTGAAAGTCATATAAACTCAAAAGGGCTTTGTCGAAGACCGATTTGCGTTTCTAATAGTGCGTCAGTTGGTTCAAAACGAAGCCCATAGCAATTTTTGATACGACGGTCTCTGATTTGATACAACACAGTCAATTCAGTAACTTTTACGTGCAATTACAAACGTGCCAAAGTGAATCTATAAGGATAGTGTCTTTCAGTTTCAATACTCTAAAATAGTTTAAATGAAAAATTGTTTCAACAATTTAGAATAATAAATTATGTTAAAACTATTAAGGAATAGTGAAAACCGGAAAACTACTGTCAAGTTCGCATTTTGCCATGTGTTAATTGGATTAGATTAAACCTCGATAAAATATGTTAATATGATTTATTTGGAAGTCATATAAACCCAAAAGGGCTTTGTCGAAGACCGATTTGCGTTTCTAATAGTGCGTCAATTGGTTCAAAACGAAGCCCATAGCAATTTTTGTTACGACGGTCACTGATCCTGGTATTTCACAGCCACTTCAGTAACTTTTACGTGCAATTACAAATTAAAAAGTGTCAAAAAACTGAGTGTGACTAACATTTCCTATTCTATTTTGCAGTACAAGCTGTGCAAGGTCAAGAAGAACCAGCTGGGCGCCAAGGGAGTTCCATTCCTGGTCACACACGACGGCCGCACCATCCGCTACCCGGATCCCCTGATCCACGCCAACGACACCGTGCAGGTGGATATTGCCAGTGGCAAGATCACCGACTACATCAAGTTCGATTCCGGTAAGAAGACTACCTATCCGAACAAAACACCCTTTGGCTGTTTCGAAGACCACAATACGTATTTCAAAGTTGCGCGGTTCAAATACAAAAAAGCCAATAGCATTTTTTGTCACGACGGTCACTGATTCGGCATCCCACAGACGTTTCAGTAACTTTTACGTGCAATGACACTTGCCTACAATATTCCAATAGATTTGTTTCCAACTAACGAAATTTTTTTGATCCTCAGGCAACCTCTGCATGATCACCGGAGGCAGGAATTTGGGACGTGTCGGCACTGTTGTCAACCGCGAGCGTCACCCCGGATCCTTCGACATTGTGCACATTAAGGACTCCCAGGGCCATGTGTTCGCCACCCGTTTGACCAACGTGTTCATCATTGGCAAGGGTAACAAGCCTTACATCTCCCTGCCCAAGGGCAAGGGTGTCAAGCTGAGCATCTCGGAGGAGCGCGACAAGCGTCTGGCCGCCAAGACCCACTAAGATCCAGGAGTTTAAGGATTTTTACCTTTTAGCATAACACTCTGTACGTTAAGCTACGGAATTACAAAGCCAAGAACGTAACGAATTTGTTTTCTTTTCGATAAGGCACTGGGACAAACATTTAGAAGGTAATATTTGTGTTGAGAAAGAGTTCAATGTTTACTTCAGTTAACTTTGTGTAGAATTGCTTAAAGAAATAATTACAATAATATCGACGGAAAAATAGTTCAGTTGAAGATTGTGCGATTTTCAGTTTGTGTTTTTGTGCAGGACCTTTAATTCTGAATCCATGTGAATAATTTTGTTATGTAAGGTGGAGTTTTAGTATCTATCTAATCAAATGATAAATAAATTCAAAACATTTAGTTTAAATCAATCAGACAAAATTGTTTACAGCCGCCATGAGGTTTTCATTTGTGATCATCCCCAGAATGTCAACGTTAAATAGTTAAGATTAAACCATTTTTCTAGAAAAAACCTTTTTTAAAACTTGTATTTATAACAAAAAGAATTTTTGAGATATTTATAGATTTTGTGAACTTTGAAATGGTATTTTGGGTCGTTCTCAAAGTTTAAAGGTTAATACTTTAAAATTTCTTGGTTTTTGCTATAAGATTTCTTAAAAACTTATATTTATTTTACACCCAAACAAAAACTACAATTTTATAAAAATTAATTCACACAAGGGCTGAACTTAACCCTTTTGTGGTGGGCTGTGGCTAAAGTTGGCGCCAAATAATTCGATATCATCATCGATAAGTGATAGTATTGATGCTTTAAGCAAACTTTAAAAAATCGACTTAACCGATGGCCTCATCAAAGTTCTCCCATCTCTAGCTGCTGCTGCTGCAGAATTATCATTGTATTTTGTGTGGTGAAAGGCTTTGTGCGCTGACATTGTCCACGGAAAAGAACTCGCTTTGAAGTAAGTACCAGGTAATCCCGGTTTCAGGTAGAAGCCCTATAAGAACCCCCAACCCCATACGCAAATCATATGCGAAGAAGAAAGCACATAAATGTTGCCCCACCAACACACCGATACGGTAACACACCAACGCACCGACAGTCACGCACACAGGCAAACATCATATGTTGATAACAACAACAGTGAATCATTTGTAGGGATTTGTCTGTTTGCTCGGGAAGTGGTATTAAATGTCGGCCCATTTTTCAAGACCCGTGCTTTGAACCCAGATTTCACAAAGATATGCACTTACAGACATGTCCCAGGCCTTGAACAATCCAGCAGGAGGAGGAGGAGGAGGCGGTGGCCCGCATCGGGATTATGGAGCCATGGCGGATGTCACGCCCGAAGTGAGTTTCGCAGCCGCAGGAGGATCCTCCGGGTTCAGTCCCACGGAATTCATGTCGCTCAGCGAGGACATTGGCCACAACATCACTGCGGTCCACAGCAGCACCAAGCAGCTGGAGAAGCAGCTTAAACTGATAGGGACACCAAAGGAGCTGCCAAATATGCGGGAGAAAGTGCACTCGATAAACACCAAGAGCAATGCCCGGGTGCAGACCACCAGCCAGGATTTGCAGAGGCTACAGGCAGTAGTGCGGCACGGGGATCGCCAGCAAAAGCTGCAGCTGGAGAATCTCACAAGGGAGTTCCATGGCGTGATCGAAAAATACTCCAGTCTGCAGCGCCGCATTTCGTCGGCAATGCGACAGACCCTTCAGCAGGCCCAACAATTCGCCGACCAGGATGGGGAGCCCAACGCCCGCGCCGAGTTGCTCCAACAGCAGCGTTTGGAGCAGGCACATCTCCAGCAGGAGCATGACATTCTCGACGAGCGACGGCGGCAGGTGGAGCAGATCGAGTCGGACATCATCGATGTCAACCAGATCATGACCCGGCTAAGTGGACTGGTTCATGATCAGGGCCAGCAGATGGGTAAGTTGACCTCAAATACAAATTGAAGCCAAGAAACCACAAATTGTCAAACCGCAAACCGTAATTAATGTTCTCACTTTACCATATTGGCGATCAATAGGAATCTATAAAAGTTTTTGATAAATTTTAGTTGTTTCGAACTAATTTTAAAAAATATTAGACTTGCATTTAAAACTGCATATACGATTTAAAATGATTTCTCTATCTCTTAAAGTTGTGGATTCGGTGGCCTAAAAAACCCTTAGTCATTTAAAAATACGTGCATATGGAGCATTCACAGAATTCTCATTATTTATTTGTTTAGTAATAAACTCAACTGCGGTTGAGGAAATTAACAGATAATATGTTCACATCATCAAGTTTCCCTTTGCTTACCCACGGGACCTTTTTTGAAATATAATAGTCTTAATTGTATATTTCATTTGAACAGGCTGTTGTCCATGCCCTTATCATATCATTCAATTTCATTTCTGTTTACTTCTGTTGAACTTATTTGAACTCCAATCAAAATATTCCGCTTTATAATTACTTCGTTTCTTTCAAATATAAGGCGACATTGATAAACACACAATATTTGCAAAGAAATATATGCTTAATATTTAATTCCACCATTTGCAAATACTTATAAATTTTCTAAACAATTCTCTATTTTTCGGCAGACTTCATCGAGAACAGTATTGAGCAGACGGCCGCCAACGTGGAGGATGGCACCTCGCAGCTGCAAAAGGCGGCCAGAAGTCGCCAGAGCTACCGGCGCAAGATCTTGATACTCCTGGTGATCGCTGTGATAATAGGTTTAATCGTGACTGGCGTTATCGTTGCCAAACTGAACAGTTAATTGTTTTATTTGTATTCCCACTTTCAAACACACGCAAGCATACACACACAACCACACATGCATAGATTTTTGTAAAACGATTTTTATAAGAAACAAAATATTCGATCGTTGAAAACTCTGTTTAATCACCAAGTGAGCAAAGACAACAAGAATGTAGGGGAAAATCTGAAAAAAAAACAAACAAATACCATATTTATAAATATATATACACATACGTAAATAAGGATACTGAATCCCACTTAACTTGCATAAAAACAATATTCAGCGCTTTTAAATGTTAATGATTTCTTGTTAAAACGATTATCGCAAACAATTTAAGTTTTGCATTGAATGTGAAATTTTTGTGTTTAGTTTAAAGCAAGCGAAAAGGGGATTTCTGAAATTGATTTCAGGAATTCCTAAAATATATGTTAAATAATTCAAGTTACAAAATAAGTGAGCCAGCAATCGAAAATAAAGATAAACCGAACAAACCACTATATTTTTTGAATAGGGCGCCAAGTAACAAAATAAAAAAGGTTGGCAGCTCGCTTTAAGCGATAGCGTAGTAATCGATAGGGACTATCGGTATAAGGTCACTCTGAATCAAAACCAAAACAACGTGCTGCGGATTAATATTTTGTTTTTTTGTTAAATATAAATAAATTTAAAGATGCCCCAAGGAAAATTCAAGACAGCAAAGCTCCCTGCAGCTATACAGAAACAGAAGAAACAAAAACAGGCTGCATTCACCCGCCGTTCTAGTGAGTATCAACAAGTTGTCCTGTCTATCCATAACTAAGTTTTGCCTTGTATTTGATAGATGCCCCAATTCAGGCGAAAAAGGCGAAGTTTAATGAGACCCAGAAGATCAAGTCGGTTATCTCCAAGTCGGTCAACAAAAGCGTGGAGAGCGAACTGCGATCCCGCGCACACGAAGGATACATCCAGTTGAGCAAGGCGCAGGAGGCGGTGGCCAAGCACCACGCCTCCCAGGCGAAGGCTGCTGCAGCGGCCAGTACTGCCAAATCCACAGAATAGCCTAGTTTTAGCCGTTAATAACATGTTAAAAACCAAATGACCTGCATATAGTAATTCCCAATTAAACTAATTCAAACAAGAAGACAGTCTTAATGTCTACATATGTCTCATAAAAGTTTCCCAGGATATTAAATCACCGAAGGCCACAAAATGCACAGGATAGCCTAGACTTTATCTTAAATACTTTATTGATAACCGAGTGACCTGCGTGCAGTAAAACCTATTTAAACTGCATACCAATATATTGGTATTGCAATACTGCCTTTTCGGATGAAACCAGGAAATGTAGCCACATCATAGGGTTAGTTTTTCAAAAATACAATTGTAAACAGAAAACTATTAAAGAGTGGAAATCGAAAATCTTAGTTTGATCTAAATCTTGCGATTTTGATATATAATATTTTTTGAATAAGAATCGGAAGCAAAACAATGTTCTCTTGTGTGCCTTAACAACACTTCTTAAAATTTATATTCCTGTTTAAAAGGATCATTAAAACAGACAAATTGCCTGCATTCTTGATATAAAAACTTTATATGTTATATCATTTAACCTTACCAGATGTTTCGATTCTTATAGACTTGATTCCCTAAAATTCTAAACAATTTCGAATGAATTAATTTATTTAGTCAGAAATAAGGTGTATACCCCTGTTCCCAATTCATTTATTTTTTCAAAGTTTTTGTATAGTACAGTGTGCAATTCATTTAGTATGAAATATTCCCAGGGATTATATTATATTTTTAATATTTAAAAAAATAGTTTCGTCCCTTTTTTATACCTTAATACCAAACCTTGTAAGAAAAGTTAAAATGCACTTGAAAATTCTGTGAAAATTGTGAAAAATGTGTAATGTCATTAAGTTTTCTTGTTGTATGCTTCAAATTTGTCCTTGCGTTGTCTCAAGGGCTTGTTGAACAAGAAGTGCTAACTTTGACGTTTGCCCAATTTATGACCGGACCTTTAGTCGCGCTCTTGGAATAAGTTTTGCCTTCATGTTCCTACTTATCACAATCAGTTTGTTTAATTATAAAAATAGTTGGCCAACAAAGTTTGTTCCGCTGACATTTATTGGACGATTCGCTGCGGCTCCTTTTGCCCGAAATTCCGTAATTCCGCTCCTTTAACGACAGTTATTCATGGAAAACTTTTTCGGCATTGGCAGCTTTGACGAAGTGAAAAGGAAAAAGTGCAACTAACAATTTCTATTTAATTTTCGCAACGTTTCGTTTCGTTTGCTATGCAAATTCTGCCCGCTTTTGATGCGCTTTTAATTAGCCAGCATCCCGCACTCACATGCAGCCGGAAAAATCCACAGTCAATTGCTTGTTTTTTTGGTTTTTTTTTGTTTTTCATATCAAACACTTTGATTCCGCGCTTTTCAATCGCATGCAAATAAGCCCCAACCCCTGAGGAACATGTGACAGGTGCGCTCGTTAGTCGTTTTTTGATCGTTTTGCGTTTTTAGTTTAGCACCAGAATTGAAGTGCTCCCAGCATGCAAATGAATTTTTGCACTCAACCTGCAATTGGGAGGTCGAGCTTTTCGGATATGCAGTTTTAACACTGAAAGGAAGCAGTTGATAACAGGCTTTTCGAAGTTTTTGACACCTATCCCAGCACCCTTTCCAATTTTGGGTAGTGTTTCTGGCATGAAGGTTGTCTTAAAGAAAAAGGTTTAATATTGTTAAAAGTATGGAACAGGTTGAGGTTTCTGATTTGGAATGTTGGTAAATATTATGATTAAAATTTGTGTTTTTTTACAAACACTTAAAACGGTTTCAAAAAGTATGCAATAATATAATTCATTTCAAAATTACAACAAAATTTAAAATTGCATAAAAGTATACTATGTATTTCCGTTTCCAAGATTAAATGAATTTTCTTTTTCTTTGCTCAGCAAAAACAAAAATACAAATCATAAAACTATTAAAAAAAAAAAACAAGCATTATATGATTAGCAAGTAAAAATAAAACAAATATTTTAAATGGGTAATATTTTGCACAAATGGATGCTAAATGAGATCTAAACACGAACTTTCAAGATTCTTAGAGTATCCTTTATGCTAACATGTCTCCCTAAAAATAGCCATCCACTTGTTAGGGGCTTTTAGCCTGACGTTTCACTTAGTTAACAGTCAATCTTTTCGCACTCTCCAATTAGAGAACAAATTGGTAATAGCAGAGAGACACTTGAAAATTTATACCAATCGAAAAGCTTTTACAAACGCAACCATTTTTACTTTAAGCCTGCGCTGGAATCTGTGTTTCCCACATCAAAGTGATTGTTTTTTGCACCCCCGTTGGAATTTCTTTTATGGCTTATTTAATTGAGCATTGCATTTTGACCGCATTTGGCAGGAATTGATTGATTTGCCTCTGCACTCATCCATCCCACATATTATTTCCCTTGCCCACGAGACTTAACTCAGTCCATTTAATTAAAAAATATATTTCGAACAAAAGGAGCGGACACCTTTCACGCACTCCCGCACTCACAAAGGATAAAAGGCAGTGTCCAGAGCGGAAATCACACGGCCCAACATCCTTTTTTGCATTTTCCATCATTTAAATGATGCGTTTCTGTTTGCCTTTGCGTTTGCATTTGCCGGCTGCCTTCAACTGGTCGGCGACCTATTTGAATAGCGACGTGTGTCCCACTGTCGGACATTCCAGGTAGCTGCTGCATGAACCTGCATCGATATACTCAAAAAAATATTTTTTTTAAGTTCTAAGAAATTTGTCACAGGGAAAGAAATGTTGAAGTAAAATTTCCTTACGACACCTGGGTTAAAAAATATTTTTTAATGTTTTATTCCAATTTACCTATAAACATAAAGTTCTTATGTATTTAAAAATATATTGACTGTAGTAAAATATTGTCATATATCTTCCAGGAATTATAAGGGTTTTTTTTAATTTTTTCAATACAGAAAATATGTTTTTCCAAGCTCCCATGAATTTTTGTTGTCTTAACATAATTTGTTTTTAAGTTTTGAAAAATTAATATTAAAGTATGCATTTACAGAAACAGTAGACTTAAATAAGTTTGCCTGTACATAATTGTGGATTTGTATTAAAGGTCGGTTTTACCCCAGCCTTGAAATTAATTTTGTTTAATTTATTAGAAAGTTAGTAATTAAATTAAAAGTGATGTAGTTATTAAATTTAGACATCAGAAAAGATCGATTTTTGAATTTTGGTAAAGTATTGTTTGAAGTAAAGTATTGTTGAAATTATAAATTATTTGATAAATTGTAAATTTCTGGTTTAAGTAGGCCCTTTGTTTTGAGTGTGTGGAACATGGACCGCGGCTACCTGGTTACATGGACAGGTCAGCCTCCAACTCATTGTGTGCGAGGCGCGCATGTAAATTTGTCCAACTGCAAAGGCAAACACTTGAAAAGCGAGCGACAGAGGCCCACTGCTGGCGGCCACCTGCGGCATTCCACACCAAACCATGGCAAAACCATAAAAACCCATTCCATTGGATTCCGTTTTCATTATGTTTTTGTTTTTGCATACAATCGAATGCTTTGGTTCCTGGTTCTTCGAGTTCTATCCGTGTGCGAATTCTGATTTATATGATGAATGACAATGAGCTGGGTTTTGTATATTATTTCGTTTGGGGTATTAGGCATTCCGCTTTTGGGTTTTTTACACCTTTCATAGCGGGATTATTTTTGATCAGAAGAGTTTTATAGTTAGTTATATTTTTCAATGGTTAATCCGGGATATACACTCACAGTTTTTGATTTGAAAGCATTGTTGGAATATTCTAAAATACATACTTAATCTGGGATATATATTCACAGCTGGAATATTTTAAAATATATACATAATGTAGCAATTTATAATGTTAATGTTTAAAGTTAATGTTAAATAAAGACAATTATTAAAAAATAAAAACCTTAGAGACTATGCATCTACACTAAGATCTGAAGTCTGTCCAAATCACCTAGCGCTACTTCTAATGTCTAGTTAACAGAAATTCGTTTCGGCAAATGATTCCATTCAGATTCTTCTCCAGTGCTCTTTCTTCCCTATCATTGATATCGCAATGATAAATTCCCCACAGATACCTGTTCCTTCAATACCCCATCGCATTGTTAATGAACAACTTCAATACCTAAACTAAATTATACACTTCTGCATCGGTAGCCTTGAGGAAACCGGGAATGGAAGGAAAAAATTCACCTGTCCACACGGATTTCTAACTTTTAATACATGAATTAAGGCCCAAAGCCGAAATGTGGAGGAGAAAAAGAAACAAAAAAACACAAAGCAATCCACAGTATTAAAAAGATAAAGACCTGCCCGACCATTGAGATATTCCACCTGCAGTCGCGTCGCATATCCCCAGTCCCAGATCAACAACATATAATAATCCCATCAGCATTTTTGGATACGCTTTGCAAATGAATTGTAGAGCGGCATTCCCAACAAAAACCGGACTCGGAGCGTGGATAATAATAATGTGGAACCGAAAATGAGCTCGGATCTCGCTGACGACTGTCGACTGGTCAGCGAAGGTTCTGCATTTGCACCTGCATCGGATCGGAACTTTGATGGGCCTTGCGTGGCCTGGCTTATAATTAAATTGGACTTGTGGATACAATTTGATATCCTCGCCGATGTGCTCCATAAAACATATGAGCGCACGAAGATTACATAATGGTTTCGTTATTAAATGTCTTGCATTTACATTTTAAAAGGTGTGGTAGATGGAACTGCGGTGAGAATTTCATGGCCAAGAACAGCAATTTCGTCGGAATTTTCCTAATGAGATCGTAGAAATGTGTGACTATATTACATTTTTCTCATGTTTATCTGGTAGTTTAATGCCTATTTATTTTAAGTACCCATGAGTTTGTATTAAAATAATAATAAAGAAAATGAATCAGATAAACACGTAATGCTCTAAGCTCTGCTTAACGAACCAAGTCTAATTAGGCTTCCCAGAAAAAATACTTTTTACTTTAAAGATAATTTTTAACACATTTTTTAAGAGCGACTTAATGCTAAGAATGTGTAAATAATTTAGTTAAATATGTACATATAAATAACACTTCTGAAAAATATTTT